AGCCCAGAGCTGCAGCTCTTTGGGATCGTGGCCCTGGCGGTGCTCAGCCTCCCCACGAGCTCTCCTGGGAGCCAGGCCACCCCTACCCTCCTCAGCGTGGCACGCCAGCTCCTTGTCTAAGTATAGTTTGGATGGGGCGGGATGCATTATTGATAGGTCTGTAATTTATTTATACTTTCATAGCTCTGACAAACAGCTCAGCCTTTCTCTACTAAATATAGCTTGCCCGCCAGTGTCTGTCAGGGCCCCGCGTGGCATGGAGCAGGCAGAGGGTGCGTAGGCTTGAGCTCAGCCGGGCAACACTTTGGGAAACGAGCCTTTCCAGACACCAGCTCACCCCGCTCCTGGCCCACTCTCCTGCCTTGGTGCTGTTGCCGGCCGTGTGGCACGAGCCTCTCCAGGCACATGCGTGTCCACGCGGTCAGGCTCTCCCTGCTTTCCACATGCTAACAAGAGCAAGAGGAAGGCAACTCGCTGGGAGAGATGCAGGAGGTGAGCAGAGCCCCCTGCCTTTCTCTGCCTCCTCCGGCAGCCAGATGTGTCCTGCAGTGGGACGCCAGATGTGCGCAGGAGAGAACCTCAGGTCATGGGTTTACTTGACTGTCCCCCAGAGCCCTCACTGCTCAGGTCTGTCCTGCGGCGTGGCTCTTGTTAGACATTTGGGCTGTTGTGGTACCCAAAAGCCACGGCCGAGCCCAGGGCCCCTCCGTGCTGGACACTCGGCGCTTGGCACGGAGCCGGCATGCTCGCCGGACTGGCAGGCACCGGCTGGGAGTGACGCTCAGGTCTCACGGCAGGTCAGCGGCAGAGCTAGGAGCAGAGCCCAGGTCCTGGTCGCCCGTCTGTCCCAAGCTGCCTCCAGTCTTCACAGTGTGCCAGTGCTGGGCTCGTTCTCATAGTTTCATAGTTGGTCGGGTCCGAAGGGACCTGAGCAGATCATCGAGTCCGAACCCCTGCCATGGCAGGAAAGAGTACTGGGGCCAAACGACCCCAGCAAGGTGTACATCCAGCCTCCTCTTAAAGCCCCCCAGGGTAGGAGCCAACACCACTTCCCTTGGAAGTTGGTTCCAGACCCTAGCCGCCCTGACCGTGAAGTCGCGCCTCCTGACGTCTAGTCTGAATTACCCCCTCGTCCAAGTCACTGATGAAGGTGTTGAACAGCGCGGGCCCGAGGACTGAGCCCTGGGGGTCCCCACTGCACACGTCCCTCCAGGTCGAACATGACCCGTCCACTACCACCCTCTGGGTGCGGCCCTCCAGCCAGCTGGCGACCCAATTGACTGTGTGGGTGTCTACGCCACAGCCCCCAGCTTCTTAATGAGAACGGGGTGAGAGACAGTGTTGAAGGCCTTCCTGACATCCAGGAAGACGATGTCCACTGCTACCCCTGTGTCTAAGGATTTGGTGACCTGGTCGTAGGGGGCCACCAAGTTGGTCTGACAGGACCTGCCGCTAATGAACCCGTGTTGGTTGCCCCTGAGCATAATCTCCCCCCCGGCCCCTCGTGGACATGTGGCAGGATAACTCGCTTAAAAAACTTGCCCAGGATTGAGGTGAGACTAACTGGCCTATAGTTCCCGGGTCCTCCTTCCTCCCCCTTTTTGAAGATGGGAACCACGTTGGCCCTTTTCCAGTCCTCCAGCACCACACCAGAGCACCATGAGTGCTCGTACGGCCGTGCCAGGGGTCCCGCAACGACCTCAGCCAATTCCCCCAGCACTCGGGGGTGGAGATTGTCCGGACCAGCTGATTTCAATACATCCAGTCCTGCCAGACGTTCCCTGACTAGATCCTCCCTGACCCTTGGCCTAGGTGCACCTCCCCTGGGGCCTGAGGGGGGCTGATCTGGTCCCTGCTCAGGAAAACGGAGGCAAAGAAGTCGTTAAATATGTTGGCTTTGTCGTCTGGTGTGACGACCAGATTTCCTAGCGTGTCTGGCAGGGGCCCCACGTTACCCGGTACCTTCTTTTTGCCCCCTGTGTATTTAAAAAAGGACTTCTTGTTGTCCTTGATTTGGGTCACTAGTCCCACATCTTCCCCTCCATCTCCAACCCTGCTTTTCCCCCCACTTGCCACCACACAGGTCAACCTCCTTGTCTGCACCTGGCTATAGGCACCAGGAATTACTGCAGACTGAGAGACCCAAGGGCTCCAGCCATGGGAGGGGGCTTGAACCCACCACTTCTGCCACTAAGGGCAGCATCCTTACCACCAGACTACCAGGGAGAGCTAATGCAGGCTTAACAATGGGTCTTGATCACCCGAAACAAAGTTCTGCCAGGAAAGGAGTTTGTGCCAAAGTTCAGGTGTTTCCGCAGGAAAGTCTTGCCTTGGAGGCTGGTTGCAGGGGAGGTTATTTTTGCCATCTAATTGAAACAGGCAGCAGCCTCTTTCCAAATTGTTGGCGCAGAATGAAGCCCTGGAAGCAGAACTTCTTGGGCCTTGAATGCTGGTGGTGCAAGTAGGAGGAGGACTGGTGCCCGTGCCCCCGAAGCACACGGGCTCTGAGCTACCTGGGTCACTGCAAGGGCCTCCGTGCCCGCTGTCTCCAACGCTGAGTCGCTGCAGATGTTCCTAAAGGCGCCTGCATCTGCCCCCCTCCAGCATCCCCAGCAAAGGGATTATTTAGGTGTCTCCAGGAAGAGTGGTCGGACTGCCGGATCAGACCCTGCCAGTTCAGCCTGGAGAAGAGAAGGCTGAGGGGGATTGAAGAGCAGCCTTTAGCTGCTATAAAAACTTCCTCCCGAGGAGGGTGGTGAAGCACTGGAACGGGCTCCCCAGAGCGGTGGTGGGAGCCTCCGTCCTTGGAGGTGTTGAAGACCCAGGTAGACAAAGCCCTGGGTGGGATGATGGCGTTGGGGCTGGTCCTGCTGTGAGCAGGGGGGTGGACTGGATGTGACCTCCTGAGCTCCCCTCCGGCTCTAATTCTTTCTGCTTCTAGGACAATTACTGAGGCCGGCTTAGAGGCAGGGGAGCTGCAAGGTGCGGGGCTGGGGGACCAGGTGCTGCCATCACGGTGCCACAGCCAGCCCTGCCTTGCTGCTGTGAGGCACGCACTTTCGGAGCCCCTCGCAGCCCACAAGATCGTGTTTCTGTTGGCGGCAGCAACCAGCGCCAGGCATGCGAAGAGCTGCCCGTGTCTCCGCTGTTTGTCTCTGCCTCTGGGATCTGGCCACCAGCATTGCAGGCACACGGGGCAGGGGGATAGGGTCAGAGCCAGGCTCCTTGGCTGTGTCTTGCCCCTCTGGGGTTGGAGCAGGGAGTGTGGGGGGGGGCTGTGCCTGGCTCAGGATGTGGCCTGTAGCCCTGCCAGCGGCTCCGCTCCCTGCCCCGCGCAGTTGGGATGTGAGTTGGGTGCAGAGGCTGGCGGGTAGGGGCTGCTGGGCAGGGTCTTTTGGATCTGGAAGGGG